CAGAGGTCCAGACTGAATAAAGATTTGTACAGTTTTGTGAGCAGCTGTAAGACTCCCCTAAGTTTATTTATGTAATTAATTACTGTTTTGGTATTGGGGGAAGAATGCTTTCATGACCAGGAATATTGATCTGCACATGAAAACCAAAACTATTTTGTAATGAATCCAGGCCCAGTCCTGTTCCCACAGAAATCAATGGGAATTTTGCCATTGACTTCAGTCAGAGCAGAAGCAGGTCCTCAGTATGCAGACCACAGAAAGAGGAGCAATAAGTGATTCGTTTCTTTAACATAGGTAGCGTTTTGTAGAATCTCAGCTTTGCAATCCTGTATTGGTATCACAGAAATACATATTAAAAAAGCAGAAAGACCACACTTGTCTGTGTGGGATACAGAGGTTAAGCTGATGTCTAACAGGAAGAGTGCAGAGAAGTGAGCTTTGGGCTTGTTTCTCAATCTAGATGCACACAGCTTTCACAGGTGGGCGATGCAGGGAACAAACATTGCCACTGACTGAATGGGAAGCTGTCCGTCTTGATTTTACTTGATTCCTGTTAGGACTCAATTTGGCTGAACACCAAGGAAGAAATGGGGTGGGGGGAAACAATTTTAGGCTTCTTGCCAAGGAAATGCAGATTATTGAGAAAAGCTAGATCTTCCATGGAAAATAAAACATGAATGCTGTTGACAGAATGGTTTCCAAAATGTTGTGCCTCTCGCTATCTTTTTTACACACACACACTCTCTCTCTCTTTCTGTATCTTTCTTTTCCATTTCTTCAGCACTTTTTGCACCACCAGAATTTTTAAATGCTCTGGAAGATTGGCACTTTAAATCAAGCCCACTGCAGGATAGCAGCTTTGTATGCATTACTGGGTTTTCCTTTGGAAACAAATAAACAGAAGGCAATCAAACACATTCAAACTAACAGCCTTGCAATTGGGTTGGGAATCACTAGCTCTTGTTAATAAAACTGTTACTAACAAAACAGTGTGCTGTTTTCTAAAATATTGACTTGAGATAGATAGAGAAGGGTCTCTACGGAGTTAATGACAGGTTTCAGAGTAGCAGCCGTGTTAGTCTGTATCCGCAAAAAGAACAGGAGTACTTGTGGCACCTTAGAGACTAACAAATTTATTAGAGCATAAGCTTTCGTGGACTACAGCCCAAGAAGTGTTAGTCTCTAAGGTGCCACAAGTACTCCTGTTCTTTTTATGGAGTTAATGCTTCTTTTGACTTGAAAGAATGTACCCAAAGTCTGTTACACTGCACCATTGCAACTGGGGAGCTAAGATTCTTCATACTTACTGCGAGGACATTACAATACCCCAGCTAGTACTCTGTAATATATGGGACTAGGACAATTATAATAACTTAAGGGAAAGTTTGAAGCAAAATAGAATATATACACACACACACACACACACACACACTCATACACACGCACACACACTTCTAAGGCCATTGCTATATACATTTTTCATCTTGAAGACTTGTGGTCCATTTAACTTCCCTATTTATAGTGAAATTACAATTATTTAATTATAGAGCACTGTATAAGAGGATCCAGTGATTTTGGTCCCAGCCCCAAACAGCTTATAATGTAATATTCAGACTGGAACAAGCTGAAAAAACGAAGTATATTTCATAACATTGTTTAAAAGCAATGAACATTTTTCATTTTGTTTGAAATTTTCCATAACAATTGCTTTTATTTATTTATCCATACAACATTTGTATTTGGGTTTGGTGGGGGGGAAATAACTCTCACTTTTTACACAGACACTCAGAAGAAAAAACAGGATGGGGGATTGAAAGAGTGATAGTGTTTTATTCCCCCGTTGAAAAAAAGTCAATAAATTTCACTTAAAATGAAAAATTACAACCAATAGGGAAAAGTTCCACACAATTTTCATTTTTCTTTGAAAAAAAGGTTTAGACAGAATTTTTGTAACCAACTCTAACCCAGACGATTCTGTTACAAAGTACAAATTAGATACTGAAGAATGGTCTAGATTCCTTGCCAAAAAGTCAAGGTGCTATTGTTGGTGCAGAGATAAGCACAGAAGATTTGTAAAAGAACTAGCTTTGAAGAAGGCTTTTGAAAGAGGGAGTGTGAGGCTGTTTCAAGAGTATAGGTTGGTGTAAGAGGAGGTTTAAATGGGAAAGTGGAAAAACAGAAAAGAGAGCAGTTAGAGGAGAGGTGAGGAATGTAAAAAGGAGAGAAAATGTGGCTGAAGTGAAGACGGAGTTGTAAGAGAGACAGCTGTTACAGAGCCTTGGAAGTTTTGAACTTTATGTGGAGGCAAGAAGAAGCCAGTGAATAACAATATGACATGGTCTGACTGGCAGAAGAAGATTGTCTTGTATATGGAAAAAAGAAAAATTGCTAAATGGGAATGAATCAGGGGAACTTTATTAATTAAATTACATTTTTGAATAATAAAATGTATGAAACTCTAAATACTAAACAATGACATATATTATCTGAGTGGACACACCCACATACATATTTATTCAACCAGAATAAAACAAAGCAATGAAAAACCTGCAGCTCTAAAGTGAGTTGTGATCTGAACCTATTTGCTGGAAGTGTTTATATAAAATAACAATATATTTAAAGCAACTTTTCACCAAGAAATCTGGAGGATGAGGAGGAGTGCGCACTCTCTCTCTTAGTCATTTCAGGTAGATACAATCAAAGTATTCATAGTTAGAGGTCTTAGTCAGGGGCCTGCAGGTACAGTGGCATATTTGCACAGGAGCATAAGAGTTACAGCAGCTCTCCATTAAGTTTCTCCCAACCCTCCCTCTGCTCTCCTATTTAATGCAGTGGAATATCCATGGGAAGGCAGGTTGGCCTGCCCCTCCCATCATACACACATTGAATAGTAAGAGTTTTAGTATATGTTAGACTCTACATATATTTTCCAACTAAACCTTTTTTCTTATATCACATTCCAAAGGTTTTATCATCCCTCTGCACCACAGGGTTCATAACCTGAAAAAAGAGTGGATACTCCTGCCCTCCACAAAGGGTTCAACAGCTTTAAATTCTGTCTGGGATTGCAGAAGAGGCCTGGTGGCAGAGGCACCTTGGAGATGAGCTTAATCAGGTTTCCCGTTGGACCCACTAGCCATACACCCTCCCACTTTGTCACTTTTGTGATCCCCTGGTTTTTGTATCGGTGAGCCTCACTCCATTCAGACTTTGCCCCAGTCTTGGTTCCACAGACTGAACCTAAATGTTCCACAGATTGAACCTAGAATTTATCCCTCTATTCTGTTTGCAAAAGATTTGCAAACAAATGTTGATATTTACACACGTATATTTGCTACTAGTGAATGTTAGACAGTTGAAATGAATGAAGATCGCTTACAGCTTATTGGTGACTGGTCCATTTCACCATATGCTGTTTGTGGTGATTGGCCACATAAATCACATGGTATTGCTTTTGCTCTATGACTAGATGGCTGAAGCTTTCTAATATCGAGAATAACAATTGATGAATAGCATATATGGTTGTTTGCCTATGAATAGGCACGTTCACCTGAATCTGGGTATTCGCACAAACAACCCAAAGATGCCGCCATTAGTGAGGCCAAAAACCTGCTTGTGCAGATGTTTGCACCCATGGAATAGAAAAGTGAATGAAGGTGGTCAATCAGAATTTAAACATATGCACAAACACTCTGTTTTGCAGTATTTGACCAGATCTACGCAGGAATGAATTGAGTCCTATGTGACTAAAACTAGGAGGGGCCCTAGTAACTCAGGCCACTGGTCACAGTGGTCTGTCTGTCTATCATATGGAGGAGGGCTCTTTGTTGGTTTCCAGTCTTATTGATGGTTGGGCAGTTGTTCAAATATCTTTGGAAAAGTAGTGGTCTGTCAGTACAAATCAGGCCTGTGTTGGTAGTTAGCACCTTTTAGTTCCAGTGGGTTGATTTTTGTTTTTGTTTTTCTTCCTTGAATTAAATCCTGGGCACAAGCTGAAATGATCTAGTGATGTGAAGGCACTGCTTTGATCCATCCAAGGCCCCCGTCCCTTCCTCTAGAGCACTCTTAGTTCAAATATAAACAAGCCACTGAATGTTCAGCCAGCTTATGCTAGAGTGGCTCACAGCCGTCAGCTGTGGGATAATGGGGTGTTTCTTTAGGAGAGTAGTAAAAGGAATGTGTCTGGATAAAAATCACATTTACAAATAGTTTTCTGTGTAACCTATGAAATCGTATGTTATTAACAGAAATATTTTTTGAAAATATACTTTACATAAAGCAAAAAAATAAGCAATCTTCTATTCTTCAGTATTCCCCAGTTCCCTGGTAACTGTCCCTCTTTTAGTTTATCCTGATTGCTACACAAAGAAAATATATAATTTACCTCACATTTGGGGTGTTTGATTATCATTATTTTTATTACAGTTTCACCCATGAACCACAACTGAGCTCCGAGCCTCATTCTGCTAGGCACTCTTCAGGCACAGACAAGGCTATTCCTGCCCCAAAGAGCTTACAATCTAACAGATAAGACAGATAAAAGGGTTTAACTAAAAAAATAATTACATTAGGGTGCTTGCTAGTGCACCAGTGGGAGATTTTTTTCCTTAAATCCCCAATTTTAGACAAGGTTTTAAAGAAAAGTCAACATCTACGTCCCTCACACTGTCTATCAGATATTGAAAGTCTACATTAACTATTTGGTTATGTACAACAGGGGCAACCTTTGGAAAAAATAATTGAACATTTTGAAGGCAGAAGAAGCTGTGAGATAGGGGAAGAAATGAACTCCATGATGGCTACCTTCTCATTTCAGTGCAATGTGATATTGGCAGAATAGGCAACATTCAGCAGATGAGTCCTTTGTAGTGTACTTTGGTTTACAGCAGTTTATGGCAGGAGCAAAATAATCGAATATTGCACACATCCAGAGGTTAAAGCCTCTGCGGATTGGCATGGTGATGACTGATAATCTTACTGTGTCTCTTGTAAACTTTTAGGTGGAGTGGTTGAAAAATGAAGAGGTGATTGATCCCGTCGAAGATCGGAATTTTTACATCACCATTGATCACAACCTGATCATCAAGCAGGCACGTCTTTCTGACACAGCTAACTACACATGTGTCGCCAAAAACATCGTCGCCAAGAGGAAAAGCACTACTGCCACTGTAATTGTCTATGGTAAGCGAGGCATTGTCCTTCTGACCTACAGGCTGCACTTTGATCTATGTGCAGAAGTGGTCTGTGTAGTTCTGCGATGCAGCTGCCACCATCTTTGATGCAGAAGTGAGGTCTGTGGAAATTACAAGTTCCTGATTGTAATGCACTATCTTAATTAGCATGGCCAGGCTGCCAATGTGGCCCTCATCCAGATGAAGTGTGATGGCCCTGTCTCCTCATTCCCTTACTTTACATCCACGTCCGCTCTGCCCCCATAAAATAGCCTGAGCAGGAAGCTAGGTCTGCCTTCCATGAAGTTATTGCTCTTGGTATTTTTGAGGCAGAATGTATCCACAGGGACAGAAGCTGCTCTAATGATACACCAGCTCATTTTGTTCATTACAATCAATTTAATTACAGGACAGACGAATGGAAAAAAAAATCCCTATGATTACCCTGAGTATTCATTCACTTCATAGCCAGGGTAGCAGTTATGCTTAATTGTAAGCAATTGCATCCCTAAAGTTACAGTGAGGGCTTTTTAGTTCCGTTCTATAGCAAACTAGCGGAATGGAGTTGATTAGCAGCATTTGTGATGCAGAGGAGGGACACGGCACAAGCATTCTGTGTTGTGATCATGGTGAATACTTTAATGGATAGACATGGGACAAATTTCACCATACACAAGTTTTTCCAAACACACAGTTAGACTCTCTAAAAGCGTAATTTAAGCTGTTGCTGAAACACTTATTGAGAGTGGGCCGTGCAGATGGGGGCACAATCTGGAGACCTGCATTGGGGAGCAGCCATCGCCTGTGTTCTCCCTCTAGGGGGACCAGACAGCAAGTGTGAAAAATCGGGACTGGGGGTAGGGCGTAATAGGCGCCTATATAAGACAAATCCCCAAATATTGGGACTGTTCCTATAAAATTGGGACATCTGGTCACCCTATCTCACTCCCAGGGATATTTTAGACCTGTGGTGTGACTGGTAATACTACAAAATTGAGGGGTTAGGAAAATTGAGCAGTTTAAATGCTTGTTATGATGGCTACACAGTATGGGGCAGTACTGGTCCCTGCCCATCTTGTTCTCCATGAGTGTCACATATCGAGGTTCATAACAGAAAGGGTAAGCAGTAACCCATCTTCCTAAAATCACGGACGAACAATATAACTGGTGAGTTCACTCTGAGCAGCCCAATAGGTGGAGTACCTGTCATATGGACTCCTCATCTTCTGTAGGTAAGGTTCTCATTGGGACTGGTGAACAAGGGATACCCTTGCCTTAGCATTCTGTGAACTGTTGCTGTGAAGAGAGGAAAGTAACGTGTTGAATTTCTGATAGACCACATCCCAAAAGAGAGGACCATAGATGACGGGTACATCTGTACGCTAGTTATCGTACAGCCACTATACACACTGGATTATCTTGCTGTGAAATACAATGCAGCTTTCAGGATGCATATATTTTGGCTTACAGAGTTCAAGATGCACTGTTTGATCTTACAGTGATTGCAATTATAGAAAGATAAATCAACGCTCATTGCTGGATCATATTGGGTCTATATGAAGAGAAGGGCCATTGAAAATCCACGGTAGCCATACTACAGGAAACGGAAAGGACTTTTCATGCAATGGTATTTCTTGGACCAGTGGTTAAAAAAGGGGGATTTGTGTTTATTTAATGCTCTTTGTCACCTGTCACCTTTCAGTCAATGGCGGCTGGTCTACCTGGACTGAGTGGTCAGTGTGTAATGGTCGCTGTGGAAGAGGCTATCAGAAGCGCACAAGGACCTGCACCAACCCTGCCCCACTCAATGGTGGTGCCTTTTGTGAGGGCCAAAGTGTCCAAAAAATAACTTGCACCACCCTGTGTCCAGGTACAGTATGAAAGACCCACAGCCCAGATGTGATTATCTAGTTTTTTCCAACATCAAGTATTTTAGGAAGTAACTATTAATCATAAACACTCCTTTTATTTTACTGGTAAATCCAGCATTTCAGTGAATGAATACTAAATTGTGTTACATAAATAGATAAAACATTGTGCACAGAGTAGATCAAACCATAGTGGATTAAATCCCACTGTTTCAGAAAGCTTGCACCATCATCTCAGTCCCTGTAATTCAAGGGATTTGAGCAACATTTACAGCTTCAAATCTTAAGAGCTAAAGCTCTTGATCTGTTGAAAGCTGTGGAAATAAACTAGAATTTAAGTACAGAATATTATTTTGACCAAACAGATTTGTAACATTCGTTTCTGTGCATACCAATTTCTCAGTTTACACTGTAAAGATGAGTAGAGCATTTGAAACATCTGGATTATGAATGTTCAACTTGACATACATATTTGCCTGTCAACAAAGACAAGAACATTCACACCAAAAATATCCACTCATTCACACATTAAAATAATTTTAAATTGCATCAAAAGCCAGAAAATTAAAACATGAAATGTATACTTTATCATTTAATTCAACACTGCTTAAGGGCTCTGGGTGGCTTTTAGAGAGACAAACTCTGCTATCCCTCACTCGTGTTGAGTAGCACTTTCCTATGCATTGAAATCAATGGCACTACTGTTTAAATAAGGTACTACTTAGCACAGGTAAGGAGCATCAAAATCTGGCTCTTAGTGATGGGTGAAACTCAGAGAAATGGAAGGTCATTTCAAATTCTGGGCACTGAGCTGAGCCTCTTTAGTCCGAATATTTAGTAGATCCAGCTATTAAAGTCAGCACTTTTGGGCCCCAGCATTGGCCTAACTCTTCTCCCATTTAAATCAATGGGCATTATTGTATTGACTTCAGTGGGAGCAGGGTCAGATTAATATTGAGCACTTGTCAAAATCCCATTTTAGTCCATTAATGTTGGTACCTAATTGTGGATGTGGGAGCCTACCTTCAGGCACCCGTTATTTTAAAATCTTGGCCATGGTTTTTATCTTCACAATGTCACTTTAAATACATGACCAACTAGCTTATAAATACAGATTGTAGCACAGGTAATAAACTGCATGTGCAGAGTACGTATCCTTGACAGTTTTGCTGATTATGCCTAGTAGCCCCTTTTTCAAATGAAATATTTCAGTGGCTTTAGTCATTTCTCTGAATATGAAAAGTGATGATTTCATAACACCGAATAATTTCTTGCCAAATGTAATCCTTTGTTGTACATAAGTGCCAAAAAGCATAAATTTCTGGGCTTTCAGGTTTTTTTCTTCTTAAACAATTTAGCCATGGAGAAACCTCTTTTTGTTTCCATTTCAAAAAAGAGAGGAGAAGAGAGAAGGAACGAGTACTCGGGGACAAATTTCAATCCAGAATTAGTTCTTCTATCAAAGCTATAAATTCCACAAGACAACTGCTGACTGACTCTTTTCCTGAAGTCAGTTCTTTATGTGACACAGTGGCTCAGTTCTTGTTACTGGGACAGAAAGCCTTAAACATCTCGATAAGCTGTTGGGATCCAACCCATACAAGTATTAACTGAAAGACTTACGTTTCTAATGGGCACTTGGTGCCCCAAGTGGACTGAAGAGATGTCAAAATCACAAAAATCACCACTATAGTTAGCACTAATTATTACCCTTGCTGGCAATCCAAACATGTATATCTAAGACCATGGAGACTGAACTACCTCATTCCCCTTACAGTTGGTCCTTCTAGGGCTAGCTTGAGGCAAATTAGCAGGGCTGTGTGAGGAAGCTTGTATTTCTATGATTGATGCTGTAAAGATTTCGGTCCTTAGTTCTATCAGTCTGGCACCTTTCAAAAGGGCTAAATTCACAAAGATCTTTTAAAATCAACCATTTTCTCTGCTTCTATCTATATTTGCATCTCTCTCTTTCTGACCTTCCTAAGTCATGTCGCTTTTTTGTCACAGTGGATGGTAGATGGACAGCATGGAGTAAGTGGTCTACCTGTGGAACAGAGTGTACCCATTGGCGCAGGAGGGAATGCACAGCGCCAGCACCGAAGAATGGCGGGAAAGATTGTGAGGGTCTCGTTCTGCAGTCCAAGAACTGCACAGATGGGCTGTGTATGCAGAGTAAGTGGAAGTATATTAATCTGTTGTATTGACTTTGGAGTTTGGAAAATATATAGCCATTTAAAAAACAAATTAAAGCTTGAATGTTCTCCTGCCATAAAAATCTCCTATAAGCGGAAGCTGGAGAGTATCTAAATGAAATACTCTGCACCATAACAACATAAGGAAGAAAGCTACATTTAAGTGAAATGGCATAAAATGACCAAAATAACCCACATGTGGTGCTGCAAAATTGTGCCATCTAGGCATTGTCTGAATTGGGTGCAAAGCTTCACCACCTACAGCAAGCTTAGGGAGGAATTGTGTGGCTGAGGCAAATCCTCTGTAAACTCCCTGGAATAAATGGCAGCGTAGTCCTCTCAGCATTCTGTGCCAGTTTTGTGTAGTGGTGGAGAATGAAGGTGGAGCCATGACCATTGTAATGGTCTGTGCCTTTTCTGAGATCCTTTTCCAGTCCCCCAAGTGCACCACTTTCAAGTGACAGGCCTGTACTCTACTTCTCTTTGGGGTGGGACCTTGTGTTCCTTCCACTGTCTGAGTGGTTGTGCTAGGTTATGCCCATCTGGTTGCCAAATTTGACACCTCGCAGACTTGTTGGGCATAGCACCTACAAGACTTCCCTTCAGGAGTTGGTGGACAGTAATATTATGCAGTCATACAGAAGCAGCTTTTTCAGGACAAAGGATGATTTTTTTGCCAAAAGGTTCACAGCACTCAAAGAAATGGATTTAAAACAACAGAGAGACCAGTAGGCGCAATGTCTTACCTATGCTTGGCATTCCCCTGAAGGCCCTAGGTAGATATGACTTAGCCTTGGTATCCTCTGTTCTCTTGGGGGCTAAGCTACAGCCTGCTAGCTGCAGACCCGACTCACTGATAGTCTGGGTGTCAGCTTGTATCCCTGTTGGTGCTCATTGGCATTCACTGAGCAGCCTTTCTCAACAAAATCAATCCCCCGCTCTTTCCTAGGCCTAGGGTCCTGTAATGTTTAGTACCCTTTTTTGATCCTAGATTTAGCCTTGGGAAGAGTAAACCATTCTAGCTTGATTGGAGCCTGGTGGGGGGTATTATCCAGTTAACATTTTCCTCAAGGACTTTTATCTGTGTCATTGTTGCCTTTCCTGCTTGGTCCCTCTAACAACCCCTTCTGATCTAACTCCGTATCAAGTAGCCCACTATAAACATTATAATGCATCATGTACCTAAAAAAAAACCCACATATATTTCCCAATTCTCCACAGCTATGTCCTCTTACGGCTTCCTTTGGGGTAATTTTGCACCCCCAGGGGGCCAGGCCTCTGACCTCTCCCAAATGCAAGGACTTAGATTGTCCTTAGCCCACGTGTAGAGTGCTTGGGGGAGGGAAGAAGCCTCCTTCCATTGTTCTTCCCCAACTGTGCACCCACGCAGATGTTGGGGTAATCTAGTCTACAGTAAATATAATTACACACTAGCTAGAGACACCTGCAGAATAAATGAACTCCTTTATGGGAAAATACTGTTTCCTGTGCCAAGATCATGTAAACAGACTTGCTGCAGGGTATCTCCTCTGAGGTTTGGGCAAAGTATTCTTCCCTTTTAGTCCGCAGGGATGCAGTAGTCTCTGCAACTCTTGTACCCCCTCTCTTTCGGGGGAAACTGGTAGTGGATCCATATAGGGTGGATCTAGAGCTCTCTAAAGCTACCACTCCTCACCCTTATATGCAGCAATGTGGAAGCTGAGGGTCTATGTCATAAAGGTGTGCAGTAGGAGTGCATCAGTCTCTCTGCGTCCAGGGCCTTTCCCACTCACACAAGAGGAGGCAGGATTTGCCCCTTTGCGAAGTGTAGATTTAGGATTCTATATCCAGTATAGCATCACTTGAAGAGAGAGCCTGTTGTTTAGTTATTCATTTGGATATTTACAGCTCTGCCATAAACAAGCACCCATCCAATGCTCTGGGTGCCCTGGACTAGTCTTTTAAAAAATCCAACTTATTAACCAAATGACACATCTGTTACCCCGGATCAAACAAACTCCCAGGAATGTAAATAGAACAAAATGAATTGACCTCCCCATACAGCCCCACCGGCGTCCCATATCATCATTATTGCTAGGCCCATCTTCTTATGGGCCAGGAAGTTAAGATGGATGTTGCAGCTCTCCCTGAAGGTTAACAAACTCGGGCTCTTTCGGACCATAGGGAGAATCAAGTTGAAAAGGCTTCATGACCTGCCTGTTGACCTCTCTCTCTGATACCAATGAGGCTCCAGCCCAATGTCTCTGATGGTCACAGGGAGAGAGAGTCTCACGGATAGATGGGTCTCGAGACTGATAGAGCTTTTATAGTTCAAAACCAACATCTTCAAAAAATCAACCTGGTAAAGCCAAGCATAGGTCTTTGGCACTGTTCATTTGTACACACAAAATTGGATCTAGGTACATTACTTTGTTCCTTTTTATATTTAAGTGAATTTAGAGCCAGACTGATAGCGCCGAAGACTGAAGCTGTCTGTTCGCAGAACAGGTACAGCATCGGCAAGAGCGCAAATTTCAACACACTGACCCTCCAATGTATCTCAGCCTCTAAAACTCAGAGGAGAGTTAAGTCTTCAGGACCATCCTGGTGTTGGCCACTCCACTATGACTACCAAGAGGTTCCCAATTATTGTCAAGGCTTATGTTGGTTTTTGTGTGTGTGTGTGTGGAACTGAACCAGATGATACATTAAAAATGGAGGTCCTATCTGCACTGCTGGTTCATTAAAGATCCACTGCACTTTTAATAAGAACAGTGGTTGGTTCCAATGGCCTTTGCCAAAATTTGCCTTCTTCCACTCCTCTGCATTTTACTATACTGCTTTCTGATTCTCCACCTGGCTGCAGCTCTCCATCACCCAAGGGGCTGCAGTTGTATCTGTATAGTGGTTGTATGTTCACAGTTGTATGTTCAAATAGGCCACAGAAATGCCATTAGCTAGTATGCAGTGATTTTCAGTCACTACCAAATAGGGCTAGATTTGAACACATGACCTAGACATAGAAGAATCTGTATCGAAACCCTGAGCTATCCAATCTCAAAACATGATTTTTCCTTCAGTTTTCATTTAACCAAAAACTTACTCATCCACATGGCCACATCCTTCATTTGAGTTTTGATGCTTTAGTGACAGCTGCATGAAACCAGCTGTAATTTGTCCATTTTTATTTTTGTGGGGGAGGGAAAAGAGAAGCTGAACTTTTCTCTAAAAGTAAAAAGAAGTCATACTAAAGTAAAGTTATATTACACCCTGAAAATATGGGTTTGTAGCGGGGAAGCTAATGTATCCTTCACTCCAGTGGTGTGAATGAGCCATTATGGTAAATTAGCAAGAAAAGAAACCACCTCCACTCTAAAGAGCTCTTTATTACCAGATTATATTTAGACAGGTGTGTGTCATCTTTGGGTATATGCATAAGCAGAGTCATTTAAGCAGAAATCTCATGAAAACAAATTCATAATGCTGCTGCAGAATAAAAGCCCTGTAGGGATCCCATTTTTATGTAGATGGTATATTGCATTTTATTTGTGAAAGTGACTGCTGGGAGTAAAGCACAGATCTTCAAAAGGAGGGAGGGTGATGCTAATGTGAATCCCACTCCGCATTTTTATATGTATATGGAGGGTAGGAGGAAATGAAAAATATACAGTTGCATATTGATCTCCTTAGCTCCAGAGGTTGAGATTGTCCCTCAGTGTTGGAGTTTAATGGTAATGTCTTTATACGTACGGGGTTCATATACCTGTAAAACTTACAATCCTGCTCCATGATCCATCACTGCTGAATAGATTGATTTGCCATACGTTAGCTCTGTGCCTGCGATTCTTTCTCTCTCTCAATTTATGTAAATCCATTCAGAACACTTTTATTTTTACTTCTGTATAGGGTTGGGTTCCTCCAGATGAACTCATAGTGCATCTGTGTGCTGAGCTAGGGAGGAACACAGGACCCTTTTCATTCCTGAAACACACTGAAATTCATTACGGATTATTAGGTTTTCATCTGGATTGAGTTGGAATTAGATTTTTTCATAACTCGGAGGCCTTTAAATCCAGATCACACACTTTCAAAGAACTTCCAGCAGTTTTCCCTTGTGGGCACATGGATAAGAGCCAAGGGACCCAAGATCAAGCCCTCTGTGTGCTTGGATCCTTTTCTCATTTCTACTTGGTGGCTGCTTAATTGCATGCTATGCAGATTCTACCCATTAGAGCAGTTTCTCCCTTCCTTCCCAGAATCAGTCTTCATCAAAAACTGATAGGTTATCAATTAAATATAGTAATGTGGAGGTCTGAGAATTATTAAATAGCTTCTTGTAGCAGGAGCAACTAACCCATTGCTTTGACAGAAACTCACTTGTAAAAAAATATATAAAAGAGATATCTCAGGAAATATTGGATTGAATCAGTCTAATTTACAAGCCCTTTCTCTTCCAGTCTATTATTCACTACACTAACATCACTTGGGCAAATCAATAAGCTCTTTCATCAGACTGCCCCAACTCCAACACAGAGCAGCAGTCTGTACCGCTATCGATTTCTGTGTGGGGATGAAAAGTGTGGAGCCTTCCCCATCCCTTGTAATTACAGTATTTTACACCCAAAGCTGTAGTTTCTGCTTACCGCTAACCATGGTGTTTCTGGTGCAACTCTGCTGTCACATTTATTCAGACTAATGATCTTGCTAGTGTACACACACACTCCTATTCAGTAGCTAGTATTTTTCCCTTAACATGAAAGAATGAATAAGCATTAAACTAGCATGCCTGCAGAGAGACAGGGGGCAGATTGAAAAAGAAAAGTAACTGCAGTGAAAATTTAGGACAACTGTTACTACTGTAAACCTCCAAATATACTGTATCACCTAGCAGGAGTCTTTACAGTAATTTAATAATTTATTGTAATGGCATTAATAAGCCCTCAGCAACATCGTATACTGTGTGTGTAATAAAAACTGGCACCACCCACAGTAGTTAAATTA